CTAAGGTAAGTAATATTTTATTAATCGATCATCGTTATATTTTACCAGTTAATAATTTAGGTTCGTAATATGAGAATTACATAGTGCGATCTTAATGGATCTTAACCTAATAAAAACGTCATTTAAGACATCATATTCTATTTCTAATGTATCTAAGTTAAGTAAATAAGCATCAATAACGTACAAGATGGTGACATTATCCATAATTTCATCACCAATTGGAAAATTAGTCATCATTTCGTCGGTGCATAAAACGGCCGTAGCAACATTACATGTACATTTTGCAGGGCAATTATGGTCCAGCCCTGTAAGATCAAACACGTAGATCAATGCATCAACCATTGCTGTGTAATTCATACTCAATTATTAATATGTAATTCTTTAGAATGACAATCGAGGTTTAATTTGATATAGGAATTCACTGAAAGGCATTCAAAGATTTCAAAAAAATTACGGAATAAGTTGATTTCATAACACTAACAAGAAACAGGCTCTTTTCTAAAATATTGCATTATTATGAAAAATCCTTTTTGCTAAGCTTGAGATAAAAAATTAGCAGCCTTTAAGGAGAAAGTACTATATTTACCAGTATCAAGAGATTGCTAAAAGTTATGTTACTCGATTTTACATCTGGCTTAATAATGCTAAATTATATATCATTATCCAGCAATAAAATCTTGGTATCTTATTTTAAGCTTTTAGTTACTCCTTTTAATTACGAGTGTCGTAGAAATACTAGAAAATATTGAAATTTCCAGCATGATTAAGGCATTAATATAAACCGATGACTTCTATTCCACTAGAATTGAACAAAAATAAAATACATTATTTCGTTTCCTCACCTAAGATTTGTATAGGGCAATATTGACTGATTATAAACCACAATATTATAAGAGCAATCGATTTCATTGCGGCGAGTTGATTATTAGTGCAATAATTTTAAACTTATTTGTACGACGAAGTTATATAGTGCTAAGACATTGTGATATCGGCGCATAATTTTTATCATCGTTATTGTTTCAAGCTTTAAAAGATGTTCTGGTTACAGAAAGCCAGTCAATTATATGAACGGTGTAAAAGTTCCCTTAGTTGACGATATTACGACGTAGTTCGGTTTGAAAGAATTACAGATTATGTATCTGATATATTTCTTACAAAAATAGCTAAAAATTTCTGGTTGTTCTTCTTTGCATCACTATCTTTAATTGAAATAATCAGAGGAGTTTTCTTATTTTTAGCCAGATGTACTTTGACCACAAATGAAGATTGACATTATTTGTTTTTAAAACTTACTAATGATTGTGGTACAGTATGACACAGAGCCGTGTTATTAAAGATAAATAATCTTTTGTATGAAAAACTATTGTAAATCATACCCCTATCACATATCTATAAAGTAATAAGAAGGGTGCAGTGTTGCCATATTTGATAAGTTGATGGTATTGGACGATAAAGATTTTTTTTTTAAAGTCCATATGGCGAATCACAATGACCAAAATTCCATGTGGGTGGACTTTATATTATAACTACTTATGGTGATGCTAGTATTTGCAAGTAAATTATTTTGTTCAATATGTTTAATTCTGGCATTTAATATTGATTGCAACAAAAAGCCTTGGTTTAAGTACTTGTATTATACTGTACTATATTGTTAAAGATCCATTTGTTTAAAACTGTTTATAATTATTATTGTAACTAATCCAATCATCACGTTTTTAATAGCTCTAAAATATTAGTAATATAGTAGTAATAGGACATGCAAAGATGATAAAAAGTCACAATTAAAATATATCTCCCATATAAATAGTAAGCATTTAATTTATCTTGTCAGCAATATATTGTTATGGATTTATGATGATCTATAATTCAGATTGAGTCATGTTATTGTAGTTTCCAAAGCAAAACGGTAATAGATGATTATCAAGAGTGTTAAGGTTATATCGCAATTGATGTAAAAAATATGCCAAATCATTTAAAAGGCATTGTCACTATTTAAACTCTGTGACAAGAAAACGTACAGTAAAAGTCTGTAGGCAACTACTGATTTGAACGCTCTTTTACCAAATGTTAAAGACACGCAGCAGAGTACTGTAAAGATAGAACTTTTATTAGCATAGACACCCTACAAGACCACAACTTTTTACCACACAGCCCAACTCAAATATTTCCGTTTATATAGGAACTATCTGATCTGTAAATAATAACAGTATTATTATTATTATACCTTACCAGGAGAGACACCTCGAACTGAGATGCCCCTCACGTAGCTTTTCTATCAGTAAATATTTTTAATCTCTTCGTATTGAAGCTGTTAGATAAGACCTATTGCTATCAATATGCTATGTAGCAGTGAATTCGATATAACATAAAAATAAAACCAAAATCTAGGGCTGTTAACAATAATAGGTATATATAAGTAATGTTTGTGATAATTCAAGTATCTTGATTTCAGCTTCGTAGAATATGATACTAATCATAGAATTTTATTCTCATACTAAGTTCTGCAAGGGCTGAGTTATATTTTTCGCAATTGTTTAGTTATAAACAAGTTAGATAATATATTTAAGCAGCTAAACTTTTCTGTCATTATTATTCTTAGTCCTTCTTTTCTAATATCTACTGTTGTAGGAAGTTTTCCTTGTCTGTCAGAGCTTGTTATACTATTACGAAGTATCTTAATCGATAGAGTATCAGTAAAAGATCTGCTGCTATAAAAATACTATTGTGATTTACGTCTTATTACAGTTAGTAGAGCAGGTTTTATTACACTCTTACGCATACTTAATCTTAATCTAAGCATGTACGTTGTCAAGTACAACTATCATTAGCTAGAACTTGAATTATCTTACTGCCGTCTACTCATAATAACAATCAGTATCTAATATATAATAAATTATCACAAATAATATCCGCGTTAAGGCATTACTTATCTTACCTAGTACTACAAAATATGAATATTTTCCATATTAGCTGCTATTGTATTATTAAGCTATCATAACAGTAATGTAACACCGTGACAGGCATAAGAAACATGAATAATATAAGTAGCATAAGGTGTTAAAAATTGCGTTATGTGCGCTTATGTTGGTGTAAAAGAATAAAATAGATATGCTACCCTTTTCATTCTAAAAATATCTATCTTTCGTTATAATTTGTTACTTTGGTCTTTATTAATCATTCATTACCTCGTATAGTATGTTTATTTTATTGACATAGATTGATCGAGAATCAGCGTATTTGAGGTTAGTAGGCGTTTTACTTCAGTTTCAACACTACACACTCGAAACAATTACCGTTAGCATTACAGTATTTGTTATGATAATTCATCCTGATATCGAAGCAATTTCACAAGGCTCTTGATATAGAGTACAAGTTACACTAAGTTTACTAAATTAGCGATTACATACATCCATATAAGTCCTATTTCGCAGTTGGAAACTACTGTTCATGGTACTTCACAATTAAAATATGTCCTAAACTTGTGAGATTTATTGTGGATAATATTTATATTATGGACACGTTCATACATGCTACCAACTTCTCCTAGTTTGAATAAATAATATATAGAAGTAAAATGTCGAGGGCTCAAACATAAATCAGAACCAGCAACAAACTGCATTGCTCAGAAATCCTCGGTTGAATAAACAGCAGTTTGCATGCTAACATATAGTTATCGATATTACGTTAATGTCTTATCATAAATAAAGTCAATGTACATGCCGATATCTAATTCTAACTCAATCCTATTTTTGTCTAAAGCAAATACTCCAATTTACGGTATGGAGCCTGAACCACATTAATTACGTCAAATGCAATGACCACGATAATAGTTAATAAGTAAAATATTTTAAATAATTACAGTTAAACGGCATTGAATGTATATGAAATTTCTACGTTCTTATATTGCATAGCGTCGTATGACCCACTGTATATCTATTTATACACGCTCGTTCAATGACTTTTACGTAATTCAGTAAAGTACCACGATATATGACGCGATTGTTATGCTTACTGTACTGCACTATATATATGGCTGTTAGATGTAACTGACGCAGTTGTTGCGTCTCTAAGTTGGCTGCATGCTTAAGCTGATCTCTGGTATATCTCCTTCTTTAATAAAGGTTTTTTCTTTATCTCTATAATCCTTGTCCATCTACCAGAGATATCATTACATATAGTAGAAAAAACCAGTCATTTAGTACGGTATTTATCGATTCGATTTATAGTATCTCAAAAATATGTGAGTAAATGGATTACAAATTTATCTAAAACTGTTCGATTTCAGCGACTTCATAAAATTAATTTTTATGCAACTACTTAATTTGCTATGACTTCTACTTGACATTGCATTTATATTAGTTACTGGTATTAATTCTCTATTGTTGATGATGATAAGTTTTTTTAATAACGAGCTTATTGTAAGTTCAAACGCTTCCATCATATTTATTTGTGTTTATTCTCCTCCATCACATTTATACCTAGTTCAAGGCGGATTCATGAATTCGTTGGCGCTGGAATGCGATTAGTGTCCTCACTCACGTCTGTCTGCAACTTTCTTCCTTATTTTGATTTTACCATGGCAATGGAACTCTGATTATGCGCACTTCATCTCAAACGAGATTACCGGTCTAAATAGTCTAGTCTAATACCAACTTACTGTAGAGTATAAGTTCATTTCACTTTCTCCATAGTGATTCATTCGAGGCAGACTAGTTCCTTTAAAATTAAAGCTGGATTGCCATCGTATTAACTTAATTGAGCATCAATCTTATTACCTGTAGCAGAATAACTTTCTTCTATTCAAAAGTATATCCATCAGATCGTTGTTGGTTCAAATAACTAGCCTAGGATCGAGATAATATCATGGTTAAACTGCATATCAAATTTGGTGATGAAAGCCAATATCTGTTCGAAACAACTTGTTCTATTGCCGTTGGAGAGTTGTTACCGCAGCTTGTTGCGATATATAATGGCAGGTTAAAAATTGAACGACTTTCTTCAGGTAAGAAAGAGTCAATTCGTAAATGTTGATGAAATTGATAGTACTGAAACATTCATATTCTCTCATGACGCTTATACAATATACAGTATTCTGCTATGTCATACGCATCACTACTTCGCCTAGTCCTGACAAATGACATTAAGCGTAAGTCGCGGAAAATGACATGCAACCACTTGATTTGACGCCTTTTACTCTGCCAATAACTCACTCAAGAAACCATAAAGATCGACTGTAGTACAAATATAGATACTGCAATGATGAATCCATAAAACTGTCTCCCTTAGTATGGTTGTAATTAAGATGGTAGTGTTGTTGCAGCAATTCACGTCTTAGACTCAATATGCACAGCAATGTAAGCGTTTATGGAGTAGCAACTTTCAACTTAGAGTAAAGTTGAAACATTAAACTTTACATCCTAATTTAAATAAATTTTATCTTCTGGTGTGTCATTATTATAAAGATAGTAAGCAACATAATTCGATCCCGTTACTTTCTACTCGACCGAAATTGATACTACGAAATTGTAATCGGGTTATAATTACCATAAGTTTTGTCTGATTACTTTACGAGTATTGTCAGACTGTATTTTCCTACTTGGGATGATAACCTAGATAAGAACATTTCCTAGCATAAAATAATTACATCAGCAAAATTGGCAGATATCCAAAGCTGGCTACTGTAGATAAAATTTCTGCATTAACAATAGCACGATGAAATGATATGCCATGACTTAGTTTTTAAGTATTCATGAAATTCGTATATGTATTCTGTCTCAATATCCTAATCAATCAAATCAGATAATTATAATGTTTGAAATTGCGCTACGATTACGATAATAGAAATTGAGAACCTTGCCGAATACGGTATTGCATTACCACCAAATATGCAAGGACTAGCTGATGAGCAAATTGAAGATTTGAAATTAGTAGATGAATGGGCTACCAAATGCTATCCATCTGGTGGGTCAGATTTAAATAAAGACCCTATGAGCAGAAGATCTGGAAATGGTAAGATATCAATAACAGTTCAGTAGATTTGCGTGTAACTAGACCTGACGTGTAACTAAAATAACTTTAAGACTCACAATGAAGCTTTCTCACTATTAAGCGTTATGTTTACTTTAGCTCCCAAAGATAATATGAAGGAAGTACTGAAGAGAACTGTTAGTGAAGTAAAGAATTCCGTTTCTAAGACACAGGTTGCTGCCAATGTTTGTATAACTGAAGATGATATTCAAGAAGGATTAAGAAGACTGCAAGGTGCAGTTACTATTGTTTACCCGATGGGTTTACCACCCCATGACCCAATTAAACTTGAGTTTGAAAACAAAGAAGACTTGAGTGGGCAGCAAGTACGCAAAATATTGCAATTCAATTGCATTGAACGTATCGTACAATATTTTCGTTCTGACTTTTCGTAATTTTTTAGGCTGCTCTTAAGATTTTGGAGAATGATACTGCTCAGTTATGGTGGGCTGGTAAGGAAATGCAAAAGAATAAAAAATTAGGTGACTACATTGGCAAAAATGAGAAAACTAAAATCATTGCCAAGTTACAAAAGGTATGAATTCATGTACGTGAGCCTACAGCTGTTGTACGCGCAGTTCTAAATCGATAATGACGATGTGTTGATATGTAGCGAGGATTGGGAGCACCAGCTCGTGAGCCAGTTTTCAGCGAAGAAGAACAGAAGAAAATGATGGCATTCGCTTACAGACGTCAAGAACAGATGAAGGTATTTTTCAGAAGCAACTACCGGATTTGATTCAGCTATTGTTTGCTATTTCTGATCAAATGGTCAAATCCTAATATGCTAGTGAGAGTTTTGTAAATTATATGTAAATTTGTATCTTGAATAGAAATTGGATGAGGCAAGCCAGAATGACTACTTGAATTCTCAATGGTCTGATCCTAATGCTTTGAAGAGAAACTTTCACAACTTGAATGATGTTAGCTGGAGACCACACTAAATACATTTACTGTAGGACACGACAGTTTTAGTAGGAATGCTACGTAGCGTAGCTTATGCTAACTGACAAGTAAAAGTATGATTTTGACTTATTACTAGAATAGTAGGAGATACTTTTTTCTAGACTCCTAATAGGATTAACCTTTTTGATCCTATAAATCTACGTCTAATTGCCACTTCATTATATTTGCCTATCAAGTCGATATAATAAGATATTCACAGTCTCCAGGATGATGATGTAATATCTGAAACTATTGTATGTACTTAGAGTAATCTTTAAAGATTAAGTAGTTACTAAAGATTTAAACTCCTTGTAATGTTCTTTAATTACATGTATATATATTATACAGTATGTATTCAGTGATTACACCGTTCAAATTTAAATAAATCGATAATTATTTATAAGATTAATAGATTAGATGTGAGTAATTAATAAATAAAACTCTGGGAATATTTTCCTGAAGAGTCTTGCTAGCGTATATCCAGGATATATTGACCATTATATGCAAATTTAGTCTTGATGATACTCAGTAATCTCCATTGACGTAACAATTTTTACCAGTGATCGCGCAAGAAAATTGTATTGATGGCTGATCTGTCGGTCATAAATATCATAATGGCCGTATGAAGGTGTGATCTTAAGAATTTTTTGGTAGACATTGGCTAATGTTTAAGTCATTTTATACATCCAGAAAGCATGCCAAAAATAATGGAATTGTGATGCGAAATGCAAACGCATTGTCTTTGCTAAGATTTGCAAGCAGCATGCTATGCACAAGATCTATATATTGCGACGTAGACAGTCAAAGAAATTAATACTGACCCACAACGAAAATACAATTAAGGCTACCGCGAAAGTATCAATCACCTACTGTCCGATAACTGCAAGGTCAATTTTCGCAATTAAAAATCTTAACAGTACGCCTATTTATATAGTATAAATTAAGTCTACGACATAAATCGATTACTTATGTTTTGAATACAAAAGATTGTGTATTAAATTTAGAAGCTGCTCATTTTTATCTTATTATTACATATAAATATATATATATCTATATATAAATAATTAGTTTCAATCAATCCTTCATTCGGTACTTGCTTCAATGTGTGTTAACGTCAACGCCTGTATCAATGAAATAAATCATGACCTTCGAATTAAAACTAAACTATTTAAAAATAACATCCTCCTTTAGAGCTGTCTCCCATGATGATTTTTTGTCGTGGTCCTAAAACAATAATGAGGTGATAAGATGATAAATTCGCAATTGAGAATACTCTAGTAACTACATACCTTAACAATAATTCCTGCATTCAGAAGATCATTTCTATAGTTATCACAAAGGTCCAATAAGTAAGAACAATCCGGGTTCTTACTGCTTTCGTAATCAGAGGGCAATTTTAACCTATTTTTCAGTTTATCTAACGCGTAATTTCTTATGTTGCTTCTAAATCCGACGACAGAATCTACTACGGATTCAGATAAAGGACTATAACGCTAAAGACATAAAATAATGAAGCTGTCATGAATTGAATGAATTTATCATAGCATGGGAATGAACTAATAGAAAACTCCAACCGTAAGTATGTGAAAGAATACCTTGTCGTCTTGTCTAGATAGCCCAAAACTAGACAGCAACTTCTCTACATATGTTGAAACCGCGGCAATTACAGATGGACTACGAGCGGTATAGGATCTTTTGCTTTTGGTAGTAGTATTGGAATGGACATTAGCGAAAGATAACAAGTTCAACAAATAATTTATAGCGGTCGGAGTATCGAAATCATCAGCAAGGGCAATTCGTACTTGCGACTTGGTCATAGCAAGCCTAAAAATTATTAGAATTAATTATGTTTGAGGTCATTAAAGTATTAGCATATAGCGCCTATTTTCATAAATTGCAACTAACATACTTCTCAAGTATTTCAGATTCGCTAGCTATTAAAGAATTAATACTGCCATCTACGTAAGCCTTTGCGTCGTTTATGTAGGATGAAAACTTTTGGTGTACAACTTCTGCTTTTTTGAATATGTCGGAATTATATTCCGTAGCTATAGAATTAATTGTATTGTTATTTTCACACATGAAGAAATTTATGATGGTTGAAGCGGATATCCGAATTAAAGTAGTACTAGATCATAATCGTTTTCAAGTTAATTTTTCTAATTTATGAACATACGGCTTCGGTACTTTGACAGAAGACATAACGTGCGAAACTGATCAGGCGAATTGAGATTTAAATAATCCTGTAAATGATATTACAATACTATTAATCCAAGTTAGTAGGAAATTACAGTATCATAGCCGTACAGTATATCTTCACCTTGATAGTAACGAAATTTCGCAGTGATTTCGACATTTTCTCTTTTGCGATATGCAAATGGCCTATAAATAATAGTATTTCAAAAATTTATAGCAACGAGGTAGAGCAATAAAGTTCTAAATAATTAAAGCTAATATTGACAAATTTACCATACAGATACATTTAGTTTAGTTATTGACCTGTATGGAGAAAGTAATTAGTCCACTGATTGATTTGGTGATACGCTTCACATTGAGCAATTTCGTTCTCATGATGAGGAAAAAGTAAGTCAATACCTCCGGTATGAATATCCAACTGATTGCCAAAGATCGCACTGTGATCGTCGAATTTTTAAGGATGTTTAAATATAAGTATGTAATTTACCTATTACAGCTTAATAATAATGCCAAACTTTACAGATTAAAATTAAAAGCTACGGCAAACCTAGACATAGCGGAACATTCTATGTGCCAGCCGGGTCTGCCAGATCCCCACGGTGATTGCCAGCATGGCTCGTCAGCTTTAGCTGCCTTCCATAACGCAAAATCGCGATCGCTAATTTTTTCGGAATCTGCATAGTGGTATGTATTAATGTATAAAACAAGAATGTATCGAAGTTTCCACTTCGAAAAAGGAATATGACATTTATTGGACTTACCAGTTGCCTTATCTATTGATTTATGGATTGTTTGTCTGCTGGGCGCAAGCTTGCCGTATCTATCTCCATATTTTTCAGTATAAAAATAAACGCTTCCTAAAATATATATTATAGAACATAATATATTTGAGCCATTCACATTTAAATCTTAAATTTAATGCTTACTGATAAGCAAATACGACTGACGCTAACTAATACATTGAAACGATTCTGTACCATCACTTGTCTTGTAGGCATAACCATGCTGAAAAATCTTTTCTATAAATTTTATAATATGATCTATATGCTCCGTAACACGAGTAACCCTTGTCGCCCGAAGTACCTATGCGATTAATCGATATTACAATTACTAAAGTTAGGTTATATCCTAACAAAAAGTAATTTTCAAATTGATTGCAGAAGCAACAACAACAAGCGCTGAAGTTTCTTAAGCATTCAGTGGAGTATAATAGTTACCCAAATGAAATTACGGAATTATAATCACAACACAAGATTCGGAAATTTTACAGAATTATCATCTTACATTCAAACACTCCATATCTTCCAGAAATTCTTTCTCATATTTTCGAGCTAGATCTCGAAAGCCAGTCTTTGTCTGTAGGATAATAATTTTAGCGTAATGACAACGTATATTAAACTGTATGAGTTACATAGTGCTGTTATGGATTTAATTTAACTTGTATTGTAATTTTATTTGTACCCATATCAATAGATAAAGTAAGTTCTTATCGCTTAACGATCGTAAATTACACTTATGCAGGTACAAGGTATAGTAGATTATGCAAGAATAAAATGTATAGCAGACAGAAAGCTGATCAGTTGCTGAAGACGAGACGGCTTGACCACTGTATTTTCTATACTATTTATACTTAGTGTTTAAGATCATGACTGATAGCCTACCCAACTGTATCTCCAAGTAATAAAGTACTGTACTGCTGTGCTATGATGTAATGTAAGCGTACAAAATATAACGTAGTAGCAGTCAGGCTATTAGACGATGATGATTAATGAGCATAATTTTTGACCTATAATTATATATAATGAAAAGTGATATTTATAGTAGATTTACAAAGTTAATAGTCACCGCCACGAATCCTATATGCATTACTAAGGTGTTATCCTTGCACGTAGTACATGACTAACAACGTCGAGAATATCATTCATTGCTATCTTCTTACATCAGCAGCTCTCTGCACAATTTTATCGTCTATATCGGTTATCCCCATTACCATAACGATGTCAATATCGAAAAGGTCAGTCATGATTCGGCGAATAATATCAAATTTAACATAGGAGCTAGAATAAATTCAAGAACATTGTACAAACTGTTATAACTATGATACTTTGTAGAAAGCATATGCAACGCAATGTGCATCTGACTGATGGTAACGACATTTGGCAGCTGATATCGTAAGAGCTATGCAAGCATCGCATATTCAGTGTTGTAATGATCACGTACCTCGCATGACCTAAATGAGGAGAATCGTAAACAGTCGGGCCACACATATACCTAAACAAAATGGATTGAAGACAGTATAGATTCAGTTGCATACAATGTAGCAAGGATCTCGAAGTGCTTCCATCATTCGTGCTATAGTAGTCTACAGTAAACAAATCAATACAGGACAAAATGAAATACAACATGCTCAATCACTGTTAGCTATTTATTGACAGTTGAAATAGCTTATCTAACTCGATACAAACCATGTAGCCAATTTATCTTGGGGTAATATTAATGAAACTTTGCTATTGGTTAAACTATTATAAACTTTAATTCCAGTATCATAGCCAGTCGGTTGAATCCATTGATTTATTCTTCGACAATGGTGTTGAATGTAGAATTGAATTCTGCTTCTACCACGGTTAGTGATAGTTTGCAGCATGACTTGTGCGTTCACTTCGATTTGATCGCTTACAAATTGCAATGCTCAATATTCAAGCGTGAAAGCAGTCAAGAATAATATTCTACTAAAGGAGATATGCGTATCTGCGTCTCAGACTGTCAAGAAATGTACCCTAGTTTCAAGGCGTTCCACTGCAGTATTTACTTGCAAGTGACACACACTATTGCTAATGAATATTTTAGTGGGTAATAGACAAGTTGATGAATGATCGACCGGTACGTAACTGATCTGAGAACTATCTATCTATTTTCTTTCCATTTCTCTTCATCTTACGATAACGATTTGGTGCAAAGTGCACATTAAATAGGTTGCGCAGCTGGATTTGGATTTATACCTTTTGCCAAGGCTTACCTTTCTGTATCCAATATACTAAGTAGTGGTGCGGCTTGCGAGTCTACCCACCCTAGGTAACTATACTATATACCGTATTACCAGTAGTGCTCATTGATCAGGTGGTTATTTCGTCGATGGTCTACAGTACAGTAAATTGGAGTACTGTAGATTGTGCAGGTGCAGACCATACATTACAGTACATAGTACTGTAATTCGAGCTGAGAAAGGTTCAGTTGTACTGTACTGTATTTCCTATCTAGTGATCGAGTCAACCCTGGACGGACAGACACCTCCCACCTCATTTCCTCCTAATATTGTGCCAAAGTTGCCAAACACTTCCTTAGGACTCTACTTTAAGTATATAGACGGTCGATTCTGAATGGACTGATTTTTTTACATTGAATCTTGTTATCTATTACTAAAGTGGTTGTTGGAAACAGCTCTATAAAATCGTCAATGTTATTTAAATTAGTACCAGTGATATTGTAATAGACGTGTCTCACAAAAACTGTCTTAGTCAATGGTATTTTCTAAAAAGACTCTTATTACAAGGATTTAGGAATAATAGTGCAATACTTCATTACTACAAAAATCTTGTCTAAAATCGACAGTATTCCGAGCTCAAAACGAAGTGAAATCTCCTCTCTCTTGCGAGCTCATTTCTGCAGTTCTTAAATACATTTCGCTAAATCCATTTATGACAACTTGATTAATCTACAACCAGACATGAGTCGTCAAACAAAATGCTTTTTCGGAAATAGAACATCACTATCTTTCACAATCTATATCATTCTACTTAAGATATCACTACTCTTCTATTAATGTCCAGCATCTTTCGGTGTTGGGCATCTTCACAATTACAGTGTTTCTAGTCTCATAAATCCTATACCCATTACTCGTCAACTGGCTAACATTAGTCATCCACAATTTCTAATATAGTAGTTATTAATCATCTAATATTAGCTTCACCATAATATCCATATATCTTTCTAAGTAACCTAACTATATCAAATATAGCTACTAACACAATCAAATGTAGCTATCCCAATAATCAAATATGAGGTGCATCACTACAAATATAAAAAATAACACGGAAGATCCATGCTAAGTAGTCATTTTTCGACATTAAACCGCCTCAATTACTCTAAAAATTTTGTCCATCCGAGGAAAAGAATCAGTCCAGATTTCTGGTAGTCTGTACAGTGAGTGTAAAGTATTGAAAACATAGCGGTTGTTTTGACCTCTATGATTGAAAATTTGGTCTCCATAGAAACAGGATTGATAAACCGGACGCTCGAAGCATTAGCGCTACTGCAGCATACCCTGCGTATACAGAAATAGCTAACAGCATAGGCGTATATCCAAAATAATTCTTGCAGATCAGTGCGATTTCAGCTACTTACTGGACATTGAACAAAAAAAATTATTTCTCTTTTAATTAAACGAAGAAAATAGGTACGACGACAACATCCTCCTATCGTTTTAGTTAAAATTCAATACTGTTATCCACTCATGAACAAGCGTGCTCTAATTTGACCGTGATGCACCGTCAAAATTACCCACTCTCAGTGTCTGCTGGAGGAAGACGATCCCACGGTCCTTTGGTACTTTGTGGAGAAAGATGCCATGTTAGGTACGCAAAAGACCAAAGGAGTCTCGATTTTGATTAGATAATACAGGAGTTGGCTTGGACACGCAATAATATTTATAGTTAATAGAAATTGCAGTAATCATGCTCTTGCTCAAGATTATATGGTGACTGTACACGAATGTAAAAAATAATAGTATTTGATATCCATATATATGATTATATTTACGTAGTATCAACAGCTATTTCAATTGTCGCATATTTTTCATATTATAATTTGACCTAATTTAATTGATGTTGACATCATGTAGCTAGAACATTGATTCATAGCGAACAGTCGATTTATTTTAGGTTCACTCAGTTTAGTCTAGAGATCGGATTTTTAGTTACTGTAGCCATATGAATTAGGAGAAGGAATATCAGTAATAATTTTTTTAATTGTACTGTTGACAAATGCCTTGGTAAGCATTGTGAGCAATGGAATTGCATTTCTTTACTCATTATAGACTCTGTTTGTAATTATGAGAGTAATCTACATCACCATCTTATGGGAACCTACAGTTTGAAATAAAGTGTTACTGTTTTCTTCATCGTTTCATTTATTTTAAATACATTTAGCTGAAAAATTGTATGTCTAGCATAAAGTATCTATGTAAGAATTGACTAATTTTCATTTTTATTTCTGTATTGTATTTAAAAGGCGTAAAGCCAGCACCCACAGGACAAAATCAGAATTAACAACAACAACTTTAAACCTTTCGCAAAATGTATTAAGATCGACTAGGGGGAAAGTTAAAGAGGAACAAGATCGCAATGGGGGCTTGAATGACTCAATGCAAAACGAGGAAATTTACGTTAAAGCCTTAGTTAATAAAATCGACGAAATGTTAGCTGAATCATCACCGAGAGATACATTTAAATCTAATCAGATAAATTTTAATGTTAATGAATCTAATCAGATAGACAACACGATTATAAATTCGTCAGAGTTTACAACGACGCCTAGCGTGTGCGGATACAATAAAACAAGCTATACAGACACTGATATTAAGAGTATCAGTAATTTTTCTAATGAAGAATATACTAGCCCTTACGAAGGAATACTTACGAAACTGAAATTGAAACAGCTTAAACTAGAAGAATCGAGTCTTTTGAAAAGGAAAGAAATTATTGAGAAAGAAATGAATAGACCGCCAAAATCTAAATGGTATGAGAGTAAAGGAATTGATTTTCATGTTGAATCTCGGCTAAACAGCTCAAGACTATCAAAAAGCCTTGACAGTGGCACAACAAATAATTCTACATTGTTGGCTTATTCTCAAGACTTTATTTAGATTTTTTAATGACAAGCAGTATCATCTCTATGTGCTATACTCGAGAAGCAGGTAGATAAAATAATTGGCAAAGGTAGTATCAGCTGCCTTCTACAAGTTATATTGCAAGGCCAATGCCAGTTTCATCTTGATAGCAGCAACATTTACAGAGATCTAGGTAAAGAATTATTAAATTTTAGATAACTATATGCAGAATTAAACGTTTACATCAGCAAAAATTAATTTTTTGGTAGTAAATGATAATTTGACAACTAAAATCATTCTACTGTATACTGAAGTTCGATGATTGGTTAATCCGTTAAATTGCCGTTTCATTCAGAATTAGTTATCTCGATATCAAGTACATAACCATATTTATGCAACTACATTATGCCATTTCATTTATTATAGCTTTATCAAGTAGATATAGACATCAATTTTATATAATTCACTGTATAGCAACTTCGATATAGAATATTCTATCACATTACTATGTGTTATGTGATGAAGATTCTTGTTTTTGTATTTTAACCATAATATACTCCATTTTCTCTGTAAAAGGCTCGATAAAATTAGTTAAAGTTATACCTTTTTATTCTTATCGCACAGATGGTACGTTCTGTACATGTAATTAAATTGCACTATTGAATCTCTGATAGCAATAGTAGGTTATAAATTTATACATTTATGCAATTCATGTTATGAAAAGCTATAATCAGTTATTATATGTACGTATTCTAATTTGGTCAAACATAGCTTCAAATACTAATCTATATGATAAAATTCTACATGAAGCTGATACTGGAGAACACTATAATTATATAGAATGTTATTATTGAAAATCTTATTCAGTATTTGTTATATTATCCGTTTACATAATGGTGCTGAGCATGCTAACGATGCAGAACACTGAACAATAAAAGACATGGAAAAAGTATTTTGAATATCGACGTAAAAGCTATAATTTCCTGACAAATGCTATTTAAGCCATAGATCTGCTTTCTTGATCCATAACCAATTCATTAAGACATTGTTAATGCTTCAATTACAAATGCTGCTTATGGAAGCCCGTGATTCTCCTTTATTTTGTTAAAATTTAAAACGTTCGATGTGAAATTTATTAAATTTGGACGAGGTTGTACCTGTAAAATAATTTAAATTTCTTCTCTAAATCATAAAGTATATACAACAACATGAGTGGTTATAACCATAGATTCATTATGATTTATTAATAAATACAATGTCGCGTAAGACAATTTCTCATGAAAATTTAATATGCCTTTCATTGTATCAGAAAAAGAATCTGTTGCGGATCATTCTGCGATACACATTACCTAGAGTCTTATGATTTCTGTCTATCCATTAGAAATTTGATGGTCCAGACAAAGTATAACTGTAAACTAGCTTTTTTAGATGGTAACAAAACAAATAAAAACCCATTGCTTTCAATTTAGCGGCCATCAAGTATACGTTTTCGCTTCACACAGAGTTGAGAAAAAATCTTACAGACACCAAAATAGTAGTATATTTATATGAGTTACTAGGTCTACCGCAGAAGTCCCTGCTCGGTTCTACAATGTAACAAACAATAGCCAACTATAATCAATTGATCTATTTTAATATTTATTATTATCTGCGAGTGACTAACATACGAATATTTTATTTATTAAATGATTTTGACGTCGTAATATTAATGTTGTTCTATGCAATTAATCGAGACAGTAGACTGTAAAGTGATTGGATAGCTGATAATCATATTGTTTCTAGTCATGTTTACAATATTGAAACTTTTTGACTTCGATTTAAAGCTTTATCGTTCAATTTTTTTACAATACTTCGGATGTTGAAGATAGTTAAAATAGAGTTTTTAATTTATAGGTCTTAATATTCACGCTCACACTTACCTATTTTGAGGTAAATTAATGTATAGATCTTAGATAAGCTAAAATTTATTAATAATTATAATTGTAAAGTTTTATATCTAACTTTTAAAATAACTCAACTGCAAAATGCATACTTTAGGAATTTTCAACTGAGTCGGTTGCAATGGCAAAAGTTCGAAATTGTTTTATACCTCTTACCTTCTTTTCCTTACGCGCCAATATATGGCTATTTTTGATATTATTACAGAACTTATTGCTTAATCTAATGGTCCATTTATAAATATTACAGTAGTTTGGTCACTGTTAAGAGGATAGAACCAATAGTGCTAACAGTGCTAGATTTCTATAATGTATAATACTTTTAAATATTTCCTTCAAGTTACCAAAGTATTTGTAAATCATTCGTGAGCATTTTAATTTTAGGCTATTATAATTGCACAAGTAATAAGGCTTTTAATAATAAACCATTTTTATATTCCGTTGTTAATAGTGAATTAAACTATTTACTTACAGATCTTCTACACAACAGAGCTACACATGCCGAAACGAAATTATTAAATCACATTCAGGTCTCCTATTTGTCATTTACTATTCATTTTTCCTATCTACAAACTGCGCTTTAAAGTTATCAGTCATCATGTACCTTTCAATTTGGAAAATTATGGTTATTATTCTGAATGTCTCTCATCAGTTAGTGGGTAAGTGAAGATAATTTAAAATGCTACATTGAGCGTTACACATGATTGACAAAGATGTTAATTTGAAACAGTAGCACTATTTGAATATCATAGTCATTCAGTTTCATTTTATGGATCGATCATTTATAGTCAAAACGTTATGAAAAGTTCGATCAATTTTTAGAACTTTTAGTACTTATACCATCTGAAATATTTTAATATTATCCTTTTAAATATTGCATATTCAGCAACATCGAATAGCTGCAACCCGTTTTGTTCGTGTACAAAGGAAAAAATTCAGTGCTCAAATTATCAGCTACAAACAATTCCTGATATTGACATCGCTAAAGCAAATATTGCATCCATGTAAGTACCTCACTTTAATAGCATGATTTTGTACAGATATGAGAATTCTTAAGTTATTATAATAGGTGGATAATGTAGAAGTAGGTTGAAACAAGTAATATTATGAAAATATGAGATGATCTTAGTTTACATTAGATTTAGATTAAATTCTCTACGATAATCTCTCTTTGATCTTACCAGTGGTAAAGTAATAAATTGATATTGAAAATTTTTTGATTTCATTGGCCGTTATCCTGTCACATTTTTCGTTTATCAACTTCAACGCTACATATGTTCTTATCGCATTTGGGATAAATATTCGAAAACTTCACGAAAGATCAGTATTATTTTAGGCTAATTAATAATCATCCCCTTAAAAGCAACCTTGTTGTATTAAACAGACACACTTGGTAAAGTTCATAGTTTTCTCTTTTTAATTATCCTTCCATAGATGCCACTCAAATTTCATAATCAATCACTGACAAATTCATCATTGAAAGATTTATTTTAGCAGATTTTAAAGACTGGGAAATATCTTTCAAAATAATGCATTAATACTGTCTGATAACATTTTTACTTTAAAATCTCTACCATAGCAAAGTTTATTTCCAGATATAGGTGTACAAAGTCATCACAACGTTATATTTTTCACCGAAAAATATGTATCGCTGCAGTAAATGAAATATTTTAGATGTCATTAAGAATATATTATTATAACAAATTCTCTCCGAAGGGCTTAAACAACTTAATGAGCACAGATCTTATCAAGTTGAATTAAAATTTCATATTTAATTCAAGCCTATCACATTGACTGATGCTGTTGATATTAAGTTATGTAAGCAAAATACTTACAGAAGTGTAACTAGACTAATCTGTTCATAGTTAATTTACACTGAAAAATGTCGAGTTAATTTGAAAAATTTGACCTTTCTACTTAAGCTACCTTTCGTTTGCTTAAAATTAATCCATGATGAAATCCATAACTGTTCACGATACTTCAGATTAGAATTTAAATCATTGATCGATGCTATGGCAGCTATACACTACATATTTTAAATCATATCTAAGAGCAATAAATGAATGAATCATCAACTAGGATGCTTTAATTCGTAATCATCAATCCTAGATATCGATTTAATTTATTTATTTCATAGCTAAAACGTTTGCATATGGCGGTTAAGCGAAATTATCCAATAGATATCGCTACGTTTGCAATGGCTCAATTCTTCCATTCTATCTGTATTACTTGTATCTAATACGCACACTATACGCTATTTTGGTTAAGATTAAGGAAATTTCCAGAAGCTGCGTTGAAGAATAGTACAGTTAAAGATGTAAATAGCCTTAAGTAAAAGCTATTCACGAAGGAATTCATTTCTTATCTAGCCCAAGTTCTACTAAAATCATACCAAGTAATTTTAAGATTCAAGTATCCAAAGCTTATTAGTAGAGGAGTGGGAATGATTATGATATTGTTAATTGTGTTGTATCAAACTGATGTGAGGTTAGAAGTTTTTATTCTAAGAAAATTTCCGCCAGAGATAATATGAATAACCTTGTAAAAACTTGATATGGTATTTTATGAGTATCATATGAACCATGGAAAAGAGTCCAATCTAAAATCTAGATTTACTCTTGTATATCCTGTACGAGTAAAAAAATATTTTTAATTCTTTTTATTAATTATTGTTCACATTTAATGGTCACAATATCCTTCAATCCATTATTCAAGACCTGCCCAAGTTAGCCTTTATGTTTTATTGACATATTTCTATGATATACTAAATTCAATGGAAATGTCATATTTAAAGTATTTTAGTTCCATTTTTAAAGATTGATTTAAAAAAAGGTTTCAGGAAGATGTTGAAAATAATGGTTAAAAGGATATTTAAGACTACAAAATCTGATATGAATCGCTATCTTTTTACGCTTGTATATCCTTCTTAGTAAAGATAACATTGAGAAGAAATATGTAAGCACTCATTGTTTTTGCATAGGTTGATTTATTTCGGTATATAGAAGCAAGGCAATTTTATTTATTGTTACATCAATCTAAATCGAAATTTATTGCCATCTGTTTCATTGTTACTACTTATAATTTCACAATTATGTGATA